AGGGAAGCTCCGTGTTAAGCAGTTTGAGGAACCTCCAAACAGTTTTGTACTAGTTTGCATTCCCACCAGCAGTGCAGGAGAGTTCCTTTTTCTCCACATCCTCACCAACATTAAAAATGTTTAAATGTATTTTTTAATGTTAATAAATCCAAATTTAAAGAAAAGCCTTCAATTTAACATTTATAGTGGACCTAATATGTAGATCCTAAGGATATAAAAATGATCTGCTCATAAAGACCTGGTAATGTAATTGGGTTAAGTACAAAGTCTCCTGCTCTGATGTTTCTTTCTTTAATATGAATCAGTTCATTTGTGATTGGCAAATTGGGGAGTGATAAGAATATAATGAGGAAATTTTATTGGTTCATGTATTAGCAACCAAAAGTGAGTGCAAGAACACAGCTGGAGGCAGCAACCTACCTGTCAGTGTCTGGTGAACATGTGTTTCCTTCCTTTTAACTGGATTTGGCTATGTGCTCTGTGTTAGGAATTACTTATTTTGTGATTATTCCCCACTTTACAGCATTTTGTCCTTATATATGTGTGTGTGTGCTTATATATATGTGTGTCCATATATATAAATATATATATATGGAAATGCCATATATGACAAAGGAAATTGCAGATCTGTGACAAAAAATTATGGAGTGATTAATAAAATGTATTGTGACAAAAATTATGGAGTGATTAATAAAATGTATTGTGACATTTGGTTATTCATATAAAAATGAGTATGTGTCCCCCTAGCCCATGCTATTAAAAAGTCAGTTCCTTATAGAGTAAAATTTGAAATGTAAAGGGCAAAGCTTGGACATTATAAGGTGTACAACTTCAAAATAGAGAAATTATGAAAATATTATGTAATACACTGCTTATAAAAATTGATTGGTAAATTCGAGGGCATTATTAGGTTAGTAAATTTGCATGTATCAAAAAGAATTATTTTAGTTCTAACAAGTATTTTTTTCTCTAGAGAAGCATGCCATAGGGATATTGTGAATTTGCAAGTGGAGATGATTAAACAGTTTCATATGCAATTGGTATGTATGACAAATCATATTATAAATGAGTATGAAAAGTCCAATAAAGAGTGATATGTTTTCACTTGCTTTTAGCTAGTTGTTAAGATAAAATATAACAGGTAGTTTTGGAAATGTAGTAAATAAAACAGAGTTTAGCTAGTCATCCTTCGTTATAATCTGTAATAGCTAAGTCTTCCTTTCATAGTCTTTTTTTTTTAAAGATTTATTTATTTATTCATACAGAACTGGGGTACAGGCCAGAGATGCGGAGGGTGAGAGGATTCACCAGGAACAGAGTGGGGAGCAGAACAGGCAGATTGACGAAGTACACTGCTGAGGGGAGCAGCGGGCGGGTCAGGAGAGGTCTGCCACGCCATGTGGATCTCGTCCAGGGCAGGCGGGAATCGAACTCATGTGGAAGTGGCTTAAGCTTCTTAGTGCAGTGCTTTAACCCACTGTGCCACCAGGAGGGCCTCATAGTCTTTTTTTTATATCCATTAAAAAAGCAAAAAAAATTGCAATATGCAAATATAAGTTTCCCGAATATATAAACTTCATCTGTGTTCTTTCATCAGTGTTAATAAAATAGTAAGGTACAATTAATATTCAGCTAGTTGAGAAATTATGAGAGAAATGATAGCTGAAGATAAGTAAAACAACTTGCCAAATAAATGTGAAATACCAGTAATTTAGAAAGCATTTTTCCCCTTTTCTAGAATGAAATGCATTCTTTGCTGGAAAGATACTCAGTGAACGAAGGCTTAGTGGCTGAAATTGAAAGACTCCGAGAAGAAAATAAAAGACTGCGAGCCCACTTTTGAAGTCCATGAATACCTTGATGTTTTGCAATTTGGGACATTTCTGGCTACACAGAACTACATGGAATCAGTACTGTTTTTATGACTTCACCTCAGCAAAAATTTTTTTCATGTAAAAGGGTAATGGGGTTTTACACCAACTACAATTTCATCTTCTTTTTCAAAAACATATTTTTGTATTAAAAATTATACAGGGTCATCTGTCTGATGGGAAAGTCAACAGGATCTTTATTTTCTGAAAGCTTTAGTTAAATACACTAAGTGCCCTTTTTCATAAGAAATTGTGCAAAGGTTACATGTGTTTTTTAATCACTTTTTAAAACAGATATATTTTGATTAACAATTGCCCTCTAATTTTTTTTTTAATGTTTAAGGATTAAAGAGTTTGATATATCTTCTATTTTTATGGACAAAGTAGTTTTTAAATGGCAGTTGGTGTTTCTAAGTGATGGACTCATAAAACACAGTTTGGTTAGTATTTTGTTAACTTGATGAGGTCAAGTATGACTATTATTTATTACGTGTACATTTGATAAAACAAATTTTGAATTGCACAGATTACATTTATATGTTTGCATTTATGCGATACTTCAGACAAATCTCTACTCTTAGTTGGCATATAGCCAGAGCTGCATATGTGCTGATTATCTCATGAATTAATAACATGTAAAATTATACTGCAATATTTCAATGTGATTCAACTTATAATTGATGAAAACTTCACATTAGATATCAAATATTAACAGTATTTTTGCCTCCCAAAGGCGGTATGGATTATTTTGTTTTATACTTTGTATCATTAATCTTCTCTCATTCTCTGTGCACTGTAATATTTTTATATTATTGACTTCATTGTAAAATTTAGAGAAGTCAAATATCAAAACATTTATACCTGTTTGGAAGTAGATGGATGTGTACATCTCTCCATTGTGTTTTAACGATGTACAACTAGGAAGATTACTGGCCTTTTATTTTCTTGTAGTCTCTTGTCCCAAAGATTTAAACTATGTACTTTATGTACAGCACTCCTGCCCAATTTTGACTCTGAGTTGAAAGTATTTACTAAAACAAGAAATCTAGCTAGCTTACTAATATTATGGTTTTCCAAAGCGATGGAAAGTATTAAGGATATATTTAATATGTGTAAATATACTAATAATTACTTCAAAAAATAAAAACAAAAACACTACTTTTTTCCACTGTGGCTCAGAGAATACATTTTTGTGGAAGCATAAAGGGATGCTGATGTGATCTTTTTTTCTGACAGATTATGAAAGCACTATTATGACTTGTAACAAGTTTCCTTATGTATCATCACACAGGTTTAGAAAACAAGTGTGTTTTGCCTACATGTTATATTTAAATTCATTGATATTTTCCTATTGCCTTTTTAAAAATAAATGCACATAAAGTGTATTAAAAGAGGTGGGATAAATAAAAGTTTTTGTAATTTTATGTGTATAGATGAAACATGTTTGTAATGAAATTTAAAGTAAGTAAAAAAATAAACTTTAATAGAGTAATAATGAGAAGCCTGAAATTAAACTTTTACCTTTGGGCAAATGGAGTAACAGGAATTGGATTTACTACACCAAGGCACATTATCAAATTCCTTAAGGCAGTGACGAGGAAAACTCTTAAAACAACTGAAGTCAAAAGACAGGAACAAAGATAATTGTGTCAGAAATAATGGAGCAACATCTTTTAAAGCAATGGGGAAAAAAACCTCTTGGAATTCTATACCCAGCAAAATATCTTTCAAAAATGAAAGTTTCCCAGACCTAGAAAGACTGAAACAATTCATTACTAGGAGACTTGTTGCTAGAAAATGTGTAAAAAGAGTATTTCATCAGAAGGGAAGAAGTGCTACATAGAAATCTGCTTCTATGAGTATTAAAAAATGGTAAATATGGGAACAAATGTATGACTTTTTAAATTTTTTTGATTTCTCCTTAAAGGATAAATATTTAAAAATACAGTTAGCTATTGTGTGATTAACTTGTAAAGTGAACTATCTGGAAATACCAAAATAAGAGGAGGGAAATAAAATATAGTGCTCCAGTGTTCTTATACTAACAGTTTCTTTACCTGAAGCTACGCTGTTGCAAGTTAGGAATGTATACCAAAAAAAAAAAAAAAAAAAAGACTGATAAAATGTAGTATTAAAAATATATCCGGGAAAAGAAGGCAAGCAAAAAATAGATGGGGCAAATATAAAACCAACTCTCAAATGATAGATTTAATAATTCCAATATTTACATTAAGTGGAGCTTGTCAGATCCTCTTTTTATCTGATGTACTAAATCCACTTCAAATACAAAGATAATATATTAAAATCACATGCAAGTGAACTGAATGCAAGTGAAAACAAATGTTGATATTTGTAGGCATCAGATAACGCAGCACAAGCAGGGAAACTAATTATTTCAGATAAGCCATAGTCAAGTACGCCTGTCTCAAAGACACAACATTAAGAAGTAAGGGATGCTCAGTTGTGTTGCAGCTCTGGATCCAAATTCAGGTTATGCTGTGACTCAGCAGAATGCAACCCATCTATTTTGAACAACTTGCATTTTTAAAAAGCTTCCTTTGTTCCCCAGTCCCTTCATTACTGCCCAAAACCCACTGTCAAGGAGACTGACTTGAGAACCTTACCAGGTGACCTGCAATCAACTTTCTTCCCCAAAGTCAGGTAACAGCAGACCCACTTTTGTCAAAGCACAGCTTAGTCCAGCCCCATGTACCTCAGATCAATGAGCAGAAATGCTTTTCAATGTATGTTACTTTGCTTTTCCTTTTTTCCAGGGAGTGCATACACTCCCTCTGGGGTTGCTGATAAACTAGACTCACCTATATACCAATGACTGTGGTTTATAACTTCACCATACCTTACTCAGATTTTTATAAGGGTTTCCCTTATCTGTTACATACACCTCTACTAGAACTGACCTGACCCAAAGACAAATCTCAGTGTCCATGGAAAGGCCATGGTCTTAGGATTGGTATCCTAGTCCTTGAAGATTTGTCTCCTGTTACTTCACACAGACTGCGCCTCAAATTGCTATCTCAGGTTCTAGAGAATGTTGTGTCATTGCATGGTTCTGGGCCATCACTTTAATTTTTCTCCAGCAAATGCCTACTACAGAGCCGCCAGGACATTTCTCATATCACTCCCTTTGGGGTATTTTTACCATGACCTGAAAGTAATCTTGCTCTCCTCTATATGTTTCCAAACATTAATTTCCTACTTCTTACTTCCTGTATAACTCTTAAAGTGGGATGACTTGTCTCCAGCTCTCTCTGACTGCTGGGTATAGCAGCTTGTGAAGTCTCTGTTGATGCAATGTTTAGCATGATGCTTTGACCTTTATAGAGGTTCAATATCTTTGCTAATTTTGCTAGTTGCTGCATATTGAATACATGTAGAGGTGGTTATAAATTATTAATTCCCAAAATAGTGTGGGTGATATTTGCAATAAACTGGAAATTTGATTATAGTCCTGCCTTCTCATATTTCAAATAATAACATTTGTAGTTGTAGAATAAATTTATGAACAGGAAAAATGACTCTTGGATGAAGATAGTTGACATGCCCTTGATGTAGATTTTGTGGGCCCTTTTCGAGTGAAATCTGACAACCAACTCACTTAAAATTAAAATGTCAAAAATCAATTATGCTTCATTTTGCATTCAGACAAATTGAACTTTTCAAAATTTATTTGAAACAAATCTTATGTCAAAAGACACCTACTCTATTATTTGAATTCCAGTGAAATGAGAAAACATTTTCTCATTTTTAAGAAGATCATACACACTAAATCTTTATCTGCCAAAACTAGACTGAAGACTAGCTGGATGTCTAAATATTGCTGTAGTTATTGAACACTTGAAATAATTCAGTTGACTTTGGCAAAGAACAAGCTTGTCTAAATTTGATAGGAGGGAAATGTTGGAATATAGTCCATAGAAGGAGCCCATGCAGCTGAGTCTAATTTCAACCAATGTATAGGGGAATATTTGTCTGTGTTCCAGAATGAGGGGCATGGCTTTCTCTGCCCCTAAGGCTCTTACTAGAAGGTATGTAAACTTTTATATTTGGCCACTATTTTTATCTCTGTTAGGTAAATATACATCACATTTGATTTTGTAAGTTTGAAAGAGGAACAGCATCTCGAGTGTGGAAGTGAGGTGATTTTGATTTGGAAGATATGCAAGATTTGGAAGGTTGACTTTGTCAGGGTTTCTCTTAAGATGAGAAGAGTATTAGAAAATATTCATAGGTATTATCCCCTAGCCTGGGCAACTACAGAAGATTCCAGTCCACCAACCTGTGCTTCAGTGGACATGTTCCAACTGACAGGGTTCACTTTTTCTCCTTTGTCTGCATATTTTTTCAATGATTGATCAAATAGTAATCACCTATGTTCTAAGCAGTGTGGAGCATAGTTGGAGAACACACTCATTGGCAGAAAAGGCAGACATATGGACTGAATAACCATGGGCTAAGTATTGGGGGTAGTTAGACACACAGGATGTCATGGAGGCAACACACAGGCATTCACTGCAACCTGATGAGGTAGAGAAGTATGAACGATGCTTCCAGAGTTTACAGAAAATTAAACAGGTGAAATGTCTGAGGTAAAGATTAAAGATGATTAGAAATAGGGCCCTCTTTGGTGGCACAGCGGGTTAAAGCACTGCACTAAGAAGCTTAGGCCAATTCCGCATGAGTTCGATGCCTGCCTCCCCCGGAGGAGATGGCCTGTCAGACCTCTCCTGACTCACCCGCTGCTCCCCTCAGCAGTGTACTTCGTCGATCCGCCTGTTCTGCTCCCCACTCTGTTCCTGGTGAATCTTCTCACCCTCCTCATCTCTGGCCTATACCCCAGTTCTGTATGAATAAATAAATAAATCTTAAAAAAAAAAAGATGATAAAAACATGATTAGAAATATACCAGGTGAAGAGGGAGGAACAATGTCCCTGTCAGGAGACTGGAGATACCTTGCACAGGGTTGCAAGGGCGAGGTACTGAGGGCAGGATATGGATTGCAGAGGTGAACCAGGTCAGATTGCCAAAAGCCTTCAGTGTATGCCAAGAAACTAGGTCTTTTCAGGATAAAGAATTCTAATGAGTGATATGGCATGAACAAATTTAGGATGATTCTTATCACAGTAAATAGTTTTGAGAAGAATTAGAGCAGGGTCAGTGATACTGTCTGTCTGGATTGCAATAGCAAACAATATACCAAGACTTGTGACTTGGAAACCACAGAAATGTATTTTCACCATTCTCAAGACGAGGCGCTCCAAGGTGCTGGAGTAGTTGGTGTCTTCCAAATGTCCTCTTCCTTATTGATGGTTCTTTTTTCACTGTCTATATGTGGTGGAAGGGCTCTAGGACCCCTTTGAGCCTCATAGTGATACTGATCCCATTCTTGAAGGCTAATCACCTTCAGTGCCCCGCCCCCCCCTCCTATTACCTTCATAATGAGGAATGTGATTTCAATGCATGAAATTTGGGAGAACACAAAATTTCTAACCATACAGATGTCATCTAGGGACATTTCAATCATACAGGTAAAAGGCACGGAAGATCTGAGTCATCAAAATATTGGAGAACTGTTTAGAAGGTGGTCTTGAGCAAAGATGGTGGATTTTTGTAAATGCATCTAGAAAATGTGTTCAGTAATTATCTCAGTATTTTCAAAGTTTCAAACATTAAATATACCAAAAAAAAGTTTCTGATATTGTATCTTCCCCTTTATTATTTATTGATATGAGTTGCAATTTATTTTTTAATACAAACCTACTAGTCCATTCTATATGGTCAGGGAGCGGGAGGCTTACTCTTCATTTGCTATTGCATTTTTCCTCTCTGTATTTTACTTTAAAGTTTAAATTCAACTATTTTAGACCCTTCGTTATAACCAATGTGGTTTCTAATTATCTTTGTGGTGGTTATATAAGGAATATTTTAATTTCTTAACAAAATTATGTTGAATTAAATGATATATATTTCTGTGGCCTAGATTATTAGTTAGATAAATAATGATGTTATAAAGTTATATTTTATACCATATGTTTGTTATGCTACTTCTGAATTTATTTTATAATCAAGATGAACAGTTTTTATGCCTATTTTATATAACTGGAAGCATAATATTTTCATTTTAAATTATTATAGAAGCTCTGAATACCTACTTTGCTTTTATTATATGTAAATTGACCATATCAGTCATTGCAATGACTTATTTGCTACTGGGTCATCAATTCTCTATTATAAAATTATTCATATGGGAAGATACTGGCTCAGATCGCAGAGACAAGGAATGCATTGCCGTGAGAGAGGCGGTGGACTGTTTTATGTGCTGTTATGTGTTGTGTAGAAAATGTGCTCTACCATTTGTTTCTTTATTGTTGTGTTTTGAACCTCAAAGCTGCTATGTTTCT